AATTTCTCTATTTTATCTCCGAGATGGGAAACATTATATATATATATATTTATATAATCCATTCATTATTAATTCTGATTCTAACTAAAGACTTGAAACACAGCTTTTGTTTTAAGTATTTATAGTCATTTTATCCAACAAGCTTTCGAAAAAGTTATTATTAAATGTTTAATGCTTGGAGACGACTTGAAGGGGGAATGAAGAAAAAACTTTAATATTCAAGTTAAATGTACAAGGTTTTGTCATCATTCAAGCCGTCTCCAAGCGTTATTAGTCTCAAAGTGGATTCTTCGTCATCGAATTATTATATGTATGATCTATACCAAAAGCCCACCAGTAGCACAGCGGCATGTCTGCGGAGTTACAACGCTAGAATCCGGGTTTCGATACCCATGGTGGGCAGAGCACAGATAACCCATTGTGTAGCTTTGTGCTTAACTTCAAAAACAAACAAACAAACTATACCGAAAAGGTGGATTACAGCTCGTTTGCACGGTACTTATAATATTTAACGATTATTCACGACAAGATAATATTGTGTCAAGTTCTTATAGGTACGTCATCAACTGTCCTACCGTTTTTAACAGCTTTCCGGATTATTTTGTGCGGTTTAAAGCATCCTTCCTGACGTCGGTTCCTTTGATCAAGTAATTTGGTTTTTATGATGCTTCAGCTAGTTAAAGTTGTTACTTTCTTCTTGAAGGTTGCGAAAAATCTTCAAATAGACCCCTTAATGTACCCTGATGGGTCAGCGGTAAATTTACGAAATTACAACGATTAAATCCAGGGTTCGATTCCCAGTGTTTGACAGACCGTATATAGCCCATTTATTTCTCCTTCAAAGGACCATACCATGAGCATGTAATGTCTTAGAAGTTTCTAAAAACTTAAACAACGTTGTATTTATAACATAAGTAAGTATCTGTAATTTTCAATATATTTAACAAGAATTAGGGCCCCGGCATGGCCAGGTGGTTAGGGCACTCGACTCGCAATCTGAGGGTCGTGGGTTTGAATCCCCGTCCCACCAAACATGCTCGCCCCTTCAGCCGTGTGGGCGTTATAAAGTGACAATCAATCCCACTATTCGTTGGTAAAAGAGTAGCCCAAGAGTTGGCGGTGACGAATAGCTGCCTTCCCTCTAGTCTTTCACTGCTAAATTAGGGACGGCTAGCGCAGATAGCCCTCGAGTAGCTTTGCGCGAAATTCATAACAAACAAACAAGAATTAGACTGGATGTGAGGTTTGAAATGGAACTCATGTATGCATGTAAGGGTCAAAGGTCCTCTGTCCTTCCTATCCGAGGAGTACTGGTCATGTGACTTGTTTCCTAGAAATGACTAAATCTCTAATAAGATATTCAAGTATGAACTGTACTAGTATGTAGATTAAGTATATAGAGGGAAATTAAATAGGAACACTGAATTACATAAGCATTGACGATTCAACCGAGTTAACTATCAGGCTTGTTGACAAATCGTTTGTCCTACGATCA